GGAGAGAGGGCAGTGGGTGGGGGGAAGATGAGGAGAATAAGGAGGAGTGGAAAGAGGAGAGAGGAGAAGGAGAAAGGAAGGGGAAGTAGAGTAGAAAAGGATGATGGAGGGAAGAAAGGAGGTGAGGAGTGGGAGGAGAGAGGCAGAAGAAAGTGGTGTATGGAGAGCAGAAGAGCTAATATCTTCTTTAGGTTTTTTTCCCCCCTGGGAGTTGATGGCAAGATGTAATTATTAATTAATATAATATGATATTGGCTATGTAATAGTATACATGTGATTATATGTTATGAGAATGGAAAATAAAAAAAAATAGTCTTAGAAAAAAAAGAACTCTTGTGCTATCATCTCACGAGCTTTTTGATGAAAACAAGTCAGCAGGTGGGGGAACAGGTGGACTATTTCCGAAGAATCTGAGTCAGTTCAAAGTCAGTTGATTGATGGGATCCAGGTTTTGCTAATTTCAAGTAAACCCACTGATATCAGTAGAACTTCATTGTTGCTAAATGTGACTCCAGCTTCAAAAAATTTAGCAAGGGGTTCTCTGCCCGGTTTCTCGGTGGGCGTGGCTGTAGTGGATATGGCCTAGTCAGCTTCCTACACCCCGGCAGGGGGGTGTTTTTGCCCTCCCCGGGCTACGGAGGCTTTTCTTGAGCCTCCAGGAGGGCGAAAACAGCTTCCCCTGGCTCTGGAGGCCCTCTGGAGGCCGGAAACGGGCCCGTTTCCAGCCTTCCCGAACTTCCGGTAGGCCCATTTTTCACCCTCCCTAAGTCTCCGTGCGCACCCCGTACTTATCTGCATCCAAAATGGGCTGGTTGGGACTTCTGGGAGGGGTGGGCGAGGCCAGCCAGGAGTGGGATTTGGAGGTTCTCCGAACTGCACAGAATCTTAGCTAGAGGTTCTCCCGAACCTCTGCGAATCCCCATCAGCCCACCCCTGGCAGCCATGTTACTTCTCTGAACAAGGGAGCACGTGTTTTGATAAGAGATGCCCACAACATGGAAAATAGAATGATAGAGTTGGAAGGGACAGAGATCTTCTAGTCTGACCCCCTGCTCGAGCCGAAGACCCTGTACCATTTCAGACAAAGAGGTGTCTCGAGTCTCTTTTTAAAAACCTCTAGTGATGGGCGCACCCACAACTTTTGGAGGCATGTTGTTCCGTTAGTTTATTGCTCTCACCATTAGAAAATTTCTCCTTAGTTCTAGGTTGCTTCTGCCCTTGGTTAGTTTCCATCCATTGTTTCTTGCCTTGCCTTCTGGTGCTTTGGAAAATAGTTAGACCCCCGTCAAATATTGCAAGACTGCTATCATGCCTCCCACTTGTTCTTATTCAGAAGCCAGTGTGTTTTTTTTTATTGAAGGTTAGCTCTACAGCATCTCCTTCCTGGAAATTTAGGAAGGTCCGTGAACCGTTTGTTCTCTCCGTTTTTCCCCCATCTGGAGAAAAACCTGTGAAGGAAAAAAAAAGAAAGAATGGTTGAACAATGTCTTTTGATCAGAAGCATTCTGCAGCCTCCACTGGAAACACCAGTGGGCCAGTAAACACTCCTCTCCATTCAGTTGCCCAGACTCTACACCACAAGGGATTATGGGGTCATTAAAAGATGATGCTGGTGATCATGTAGCAACAGAAGTTCTGGTTCCAATGGTGATTGTAGCTTGAGGATTACATGACCCGTCAAAACCGCGGTCCACTAAAGCGCGCCCGATCAAAGCGCGTACATGACGTCATCAGCAGCGCGACAAATAAAATTAAAAATAAATTATTCACATAAAAGTAAAGGTTAGGTTAAGGGTTAGGGTTACGTTAAGCGTTAGGGTTAGGTTTAGGGTTACATTAAGTGTTAGGGTTAGGTTTAGGGTTAGGTTGAGGGTTAGGTTTGGGGGGGGTTAGGGTAA